CATAAACGCGGTCGACAAACGATTGGTATTACACTTACCATCAGTGAAAGACAACTATGACATTCGCCAATTCATGGAAAGTACATACAGCTAGGTTCCCGATCAGCGACTACAATCGTAGAACACCCCTCATATATTCGTCATGATACTGCGATAAAGTTAGCGAATATGGATCCGGCTTTTCTGGCCAAGCAAGCAAACGTTGGATGGTCTGCTAGCGCCAGGAGTCTGACAAATCGGATAAACAGCTCGCGTGACAATTTCAAATAAATGATTACTGAACTGTGAATAAAGCTCATCGAGATATTATGCTTGAAAATCGTAGCGGCTCAACCACCATGAGAAGCTCGTACATGTTAGTTTTTCCACCCATCAGTCACAAAGAACGAATTGACTGTTCAATGCCATTTTCTATTTTCATTGAATACAAATCAGCCGGTGAGGGACTGAAATAAACAAGTGATGACGGAAAAAAGCGCGCGCTTACCATTATCGCATTCACCATATCGTTATTGTTTTCTCGGAGTGCTTTTATAGCTTTACTACGGGAGACGCTAGCTTGTTGCATAATGAGTTCGATATCTTTCTCCACGAGGCCAGATGCATCGGGCTGACAAGGTTATCACGAATCAAAATTACCCTTACCTCTTCTTCATCTTCGGACTCTTCGGCGATTGCCGTTTTTGAGACCGCACTGGCATCTTTCGCGAGTGCACCAGTGCCGCCCAATCCAGTTCCACTCATTGCTTGTGTACGCAATTTTTCGGCCGCAGCAATCTGAGCTTGTGCAGACATATCCTCCACTTTGGCTTCTCCAAAAATGATATAGGTATCAGAGGCTGAGGATTTGTACACTTCGGCTTGGCTTATAACAAACATTATTGTTTTAGCCTTGCGAATAGTCACACGACATATCCCTGGTATGGGCTTCAAGCCGAGCTTTGACATTGCCTTTCGTGCTTTCTTTTCACTGCGTGACTGTTTACTGCGGCTTAGCAATTCGTCCGCTAAGGCGCTAGCTTTGGCAGCATCGCCCTGATCTTTCACATCCGTGAGTTCTGGGGCAGAGTCATCGGAGTCGGACTCAGAATCCGTGACGTCTGGTTTGGTTTCCGGTTTTTCTGTTGCTCCCGGTACCATTCTGTAGGATAAACAGTATAGCAGAAGTTACTCGCGTATAATTACAAAGGATTTGTTGTAGTCGTCATACTTAGCGAACTAATTTTCAACGCAAAACTATATACAGCGAGTGACCAGCGAAGTTTCCTTTATTGATTTAGCTGTACGGTCCTGATGTCACATGTTTAAGTATCCCAAGGGATAAGTTCTGGGAAAGCAACGGGATGAAAAGGCATCGATGCAAAGAAACCTAACACCGAAATCCACAAATCTGATTCATAGGATGGTGCATCTCACTGTGACCTGTTCAGTAATAAAGCCTCTGTACATTTATCGAGTACAGTAATTCATAGGATATCAGGACAGGCCTTGAGTTTAACATGACTTCGCGCTTGCCGGAGATCGACCTACTCTTTCTGAAAAAAAACTGCAACTGAAATATCCAGTATTCCACACATTTGAGTTACTTTTTCTGGAGTGATCAAGGTCAAACTTGAAGAACACTTGAAACTGCCATAAAAGGTTTCAGGATTTTGTCATATGCCCTAATTTTATATTACTATTGCTCTAAGTGGGCTGTTTAACCACTCATTCAGTCTCAAGGACTAGTGTTGTATCGTATTGAGTGACGATATCACACAGACTTACTCACCACATGACACCTAGAAAACCTCTTATCATCCTCCTAAACTCACAAGTTGTGGACTCTGTAACCAAGCATACAATCCAAGACAAGATCATTTGTTGTAAAGGTGAAGCAAAACGGGAGAGTATGTCATGCGCACAAGTACGCAGTGATGATTCACTGATTCCAGCCAAAATTCACCATGCATATACAGTAAGTGAGGATGTGTACCGAGTGCAGGGACTGAGCCCACTTTAAGGAACGGTGAACGGAGGCGAACTTTGACGGCCAACACGCGCGTGCATGCACATTTTTTTAATTTTGGTCTGATGGGATATAATAACAAGAACGTCTCCATCCCCGAGTTAGAGTAGTTACAACCTCACCCTGGAAGACAGACCTATTCAACCTAATCGCTGCGTGTATCTTCGACATTTCATTTATTGACCTCCACGTGAATTTCTTCAGACCGTCGCGGCCACTGCGAATAAGGCGCGTCGCGATATGCGACAGCAAAGAAAATTGGTCGGTGGTAGTATTCCGGAATTTTTCGCTTCAGTGTACCGTCACGCAGTTTCCGCTAGCGTCTCAGTCTCAATACGCCGCTTGGGGATTACAGAAGGCAACCAATACCGCCACACGAACAGCATGTATAATGGTTGACCGAGCCGAAATTGATTTATGCGATTGCTTTTGTGGCGCTCTCGTTCTTGGTCACCCAGTGCCTAAAAATAAGAGGAGCGCTCAACTTCTGCCGATTCCGGACTACCTAATTTCAGAACAGGACTAGTCTTGCAGCATCTCTTTGCTTTTTTAAAATCTAAAGCGTATGCCGAACGGAGCAACATAACCTGTTGTCCTTACAAGTGCACTGTGTATCCTTCATACATTCGAACGGGCAAACGATTTCGCACAGCTTCTCTCCAGTTGTCCATTAAATACCAA